GAGCTTTCAGATTACAGTGAGCAAAAAAAAAAACCCAATTACTGAAACCCTAATTTTGACTTGAGAGGAACTCTCAGGATATATACATATATATAAAATTCTGCATAAGCTTAATGGTTTTTTCAAATAAACTACTTGATTACTTGAGAACAATGAATGGGGAAAATAAGTTTCTGTTTCCATGAGGTTCTTACCTGTATAATGCATCATCAATCTCCACAGATTCTGTTGACATGATGGGCAGATTTTTATTTGTACTGGGGGAAAAAAAAAAACTTGTAAGAGCAAGTATGGTTATTAAATATTCACATTTTATAATACAACATTTGATTATACATGGGATCAGATTTATAAGTTACTAAAAGTTTTTACAAACCATACATTTTATTATGTACCACTTTCGATTTTTAAAATGTTTTGAAATTAAATTCTGATTGCTTGGCTCTGCCCTGTGTGTACTATAAGATTATAGAGCCCATGGTTTTATTCTCAGGTGTTTTATCATTGCCACATATATTCTGATGGATCCATATTTTAGCAATTTTGTTTCATGAACAAAATTTCTGTATATAAACACCCTCCCTAAATAAACTCCTTCAGTTCCACAGAAGTCACTATATACTGATATCTAACCTTATTTCTCCATATTTGATCTCTCCTCTGACCTCCAGATTTTATACACCTGCCAAAACAATAACTCTATTCTGATGTCTAAATGTTACCACAAACTATTGCTGCTTAATCTTATCTTCCCTAGTCTTACCCAAATCAGTTTTTGGTACTACCATTTTCCCAGTTGGGCTTGAAATCTAGGTATCTTCTTATTTTAATCATTCCTTTGCTTTCTCCATCTGTGAGTCCTGTTAACTCTACCTTCAAAAGAGATAGCAAATCCGACCACTTCTCACTACTTCAATCAGTACAATCTCAAACCATCAACACATTTCACCTGAATTACTTCAAAGACCTCCTAATTAGTACCCTTATTTCCACTATTGCCCTTCCCTTTTAGTTTTTATTCTCTATATAACAGCCTAAACACCTTAAAATGTAGTCAGAAATTATTCCTTGACTTAGAATTACCCTCCAGTGGATTTCCTTTACTCTTAAAACAAAATTCAAACAACTTGCCACGCTTGAAAGGGCCTATTTGTTCTGTCTCCCAATTACCTCTCCAATTTCAACTCCCACCACTCTCCCTTCTCGCTTACTGTCTACAAGCCACACTAGCCTGCCTGCTGTTCCCCAAGAAGCCAAGCTTGCTCTCACTTCAGAGTTTTTACGCTATTCCCTCTGTTTGGAATGTTATTCCTTCAGATCTCAGAACAGCTGACTTCTTAAGCCTCTATAAAAATACTGTCTTACAAATATTACACAGATCATTCCTGATCACTCTATCAATAGAATGACTCCCTTTATATAAGCTTAGGTTAACCTGCTGTACTTTCTTCAAATCACTTTTCATTAACTGTTTATTGTCTGCACCCACACCTCCCAGTAGAATGAATGGTCTGTTAAAAACTCACTATTGCATTCCAAATACCTAAAACAGTACCTGGCATTTAGTAATAATAGCTAACCCTGTGCCACACACTATTTTAAGTGCTTTGCATGTACTAACTCAGTTAACTGCAACAACCTTGAGATAGGCACTACTTCCATCTCTAATGAACACAGGAAAAAAACTGAAGCTGGGAGAGTTCAACTTAAATAACTTGCCTAAGGTCACAGAAGCAGGTAAATGGCACAGCCAGGATCTGAACCCAGACAGTCTAGCTCTTGACTACCACATTATATTGCCTATTGCCTCTCATAAAGGAAGCAATTAAAAATATCTGTTAAATGAATATTTTTTAGGAATTAAGAAAATCAAGCTAAATATACTAGTGTGACAAAGTATACTTATTACACTAATGTATTATTTACAGTAGTGTGTCCCAATTTTTTCACAGCATGGCATACAAAAAAATGATATTGTAGGAAACACTTGAGAAGCAGAGATAGTTCCCAGGCAGAAGGAACCAGCCTGGGGCATTTGGGCCTGAGCCACTGTGAGAGCTGAGATCAATATTATCTTGGCAAAAGGGCAAGCCATTCCAGGCTCTGGGAAGCTCTAATTGTCAATCACAGGATTCAAAAAACAGTATCACAACATGAAATTCAGGTTTCGAATTCAATTTCCTAGGCTTGGCATTAATAAATAAGCCAAAGGATTTGTAAATACGGGTAATTAAAATGTTACCATTTCTTTTACCAAACATTGACTGGTATCGTCAAATGATATCAACTTCTAGCAGTTAAATGGATAACTATTACAAAAACTCCTGAGTGCAATTATGAAAGCAAACCGGAAGACAGCTGCTGCCTTTTCAGAAAGTTCTGCCTCACTGGAATATTTAAAAAAATATTTCAAAATAGTAAGATCTATAAGGCAATCAAAAACGCTTCAAATAAGGGGTGTGTTGTGTAAGTATGACATAATAGCCCCCAGGTAAATGTGGCAGCGTTGGCAATGGCAGACAATATCGTGGTACTAAAAGCAACTCTTCTGTCTGAAACTGTCCAAAAAGCCACAGGTTTATGGAGAGTCTCGTGCATTAGCTGAAAATAATGCGACCTTCACTTCTATCTTTGGCATGGTGTATTCTGATAGTGGACAGGCTATAACCACTTACTTTATTAATTATGAGATGATTGCAAGAGAAATTACTAACCAAGAAATTGGGAAGGGCCTAGCACAAACATTTCCCCCTAATGTTGCAGGGGCGGTAAAGACCTAAAGGAGAACCCCAGTTCCAACTCGGAAAGAAGAATGGATAACTCGTGCCTGTTTTCCTGGCCTTCCCTATCCCCGCCCCCATAGACTGCCACTGATCCATTCTTACCAAGTTCCCCCTGGTGAGAGTTTTCGAAGGAGCATCTCAGTGAAGGACAGTGAACAGTGACGCTCACAGCTTTCATTTTACCCAAAAGAGGAGGGAAGGAGCTTGCACCAGGCAGGGAAGCTCACAACAAGCGACCGGGGCCCGAACACTCTCTTGGCTGGAGCCCTCCCCCGAGCCCCCGTCCGGTGACCCGGAGGAAGGAGGATGCCAGACCCCAGCCGGAACCGAAAAAGCGCTGAAAGGAGCGGGAAGCGGACTTTCTCCTCAGGAGAGCAGACGCCGGAGCCCACCGCGCCACACCCACCCCGCGCGCCCCCCTCGCCAACCAGGGCCTCTCGCGCGCTCCCAGCCCGCCCGGCGGGAGAAGCAGAAAGCTGGAGCCCAGGTCCCACCCGCGACCCCTCGCTTCTTCTCGCCTTTATCGTCCTCTCACCTGCCAGTCCCCCAGGAAGAGCAGGACGCCTCATCCCCCTGAGGGGCGGCGACCGGCTTGGATCCCTCCATTGCCGCCTCAGACACTGCCGCCGGCGACGGAGAGACAGGGAAGGGGGCGGGATCGCGAGGGGTCAAAGGGCGAGTGGTGACGTCACCAGAGGGGGCGGGCCTAGGGAAACGAGGAGCCCGGCAGCACCTTCCCGTCAACCCTAGGGGCGTCCTGGTTTCCGGTTTGGGTGTGGCCAAAGCGCGGGCTGTGGTGCAGGTGGCTGAAATGGGCGTCGCTGCTGCGACTGCGATCCGGCAGATGAATGGGGAGCCAAGGCTCTGAAGTTTTGCGTCACTGCTGGCTCTACAGGCAAGCATACAGGACTCCAGTGATCTGCGAAATACGAGATTGTGTTGCAAATCCTTAAGAGTCTTATAGCAAGAAGAGGAAACTCCTTTATTTTATAAATAGAAAACCGAAGGTTGGTTTTCTATTTATAGCTCCAGATTTCCAGTCTGGTGTTCCATTTAAAGACGTTATATATTTAACGAATAAGTTTGGGTGTCTACTATGTGTGAGGAACTGTCTCAAATTTAATGGAATCATAATTTTTAGAGCTATAAACGACGGTGGGTCATCCAGTTTGGTCCTTTCATTTTATGAGTGAGACAAAGGAACTTCCTGTCAGCGTAAGCGACTTGGTCAAGATCTTAGAGCTAGTCAGGATCAGTTTACCAGAACACAAGTCTAAGGACGTCTCATCTAGTTCTCTTTCCGTTAACTCCTGTCACCTTTCTTAGAAAACCACACTTAGTTGGACACAATAACATTAGGATTTGACTTTCTTTCTACGTAAGAGTGGGTATTTGAAGAAAGGTCCACAAGATTTTAAAAATTGGTATATCCCTTGACTTTGGGTATTATATAGTTTTCTGTAATGTATGATATTTTTACTTATTTAGAATTTCTTCCTCTCTTGTGGAGACAAAGCAGCAGAATTTGTTTTTTCAGTTTGCTAAGATAGAGTCTTATATAACATAACATAATCATAGGACTGACATCTTAGCACCTTGCTTTATAATGCAACCTAATCAAGGAATGGCATTTTATTAATTTGCCACAGGTGATGCATGGTTGAAAGGAAGTCAGGGGTTCCAGTCAGACTCAGAGAATGGGGATTATACAATGATATGCCTTATTGGGAACCACCTTAGTGTGTATGTGCTAAGGATTAGAAGAATTTTCCATTGACCAGCTTCAGTACATTTTGTACGTTGTTTCCCCTTCACAACTCACATAGTTCTTGTGACATATGTCTGGACACATTCATATCATGACTCTGACCCTACGCTTTCCTGTCACTATGCCAGGTAAGTCAGTACAAATAGGCATTTTATCTAGCACTATGCCTCAAAGCTTACTTTTGTGGTTACTAATGACTTAGATCAACGTGAAAGTGACCAGGAACCACATAATACCCCTCTAGACTCAATCTAAAGATATGTTTAGTTCAGCTTCTCCTTGCTTGGGTCCCAAAGATTTCCATGGCCATTCCAACACCACCTCATCTCAGGGGAAGTTTCACAGAGGCAAAGTAAGAGTGGAAAGAGATAGTCTTAGCCAATTGCAATTAAAATATCTTATTTTTGCTAATCTTATAAAAACACGTGACTGTGTGATAACATCTTTTCCAGGGTCTTGGGAGTGGACCGAATAAGTGAGAAGCTTTGAAGGTAAGTTTCATGAGCTTTACAGGAAATCTACCTCAAGTTGCCATTTATTTATTAACTTACGTGACAATTATTCTCTGAATCTGAAGTAATGGCCAGAATTTTAAAAACTTATGAAAATGTATTACCCAATGGACTAATTATAAAAACAACTAAATGAGGAAAAAACCAGGACCCAAGACTTCCTAAGAAAGTCACTAATTATGCAGAACCTATTCTCTATACATCAGGTGAAGATTCCAATCACTGGAATTTAATATGCTTGGATTTAAATTGTGAAAAACAGTGATAATCTGTTATTGTCCTGTATGGCTACATTTATTGTACAATTACTGTGTTCCAAGAACTGAATTTAGTCTTTACTCTTTGTGTTTAAATTGTGTGCTATTTAAAGTTGTGGTATATATAGTCTCAATTTTGCTTTGAAAGATAACTGGTGATTATGACAGGTACTACTGTTTTCTGACCCAAAAGGCATTACCCTTTTTTACACACACACACACACACACACACACACTCTCTCTCTCTCTCTCTCTCTCTCTCTCTCTTTCTCTTTCATACACACATACACACAGCACCCCCCCACCACCAAAAAAAAAAGAAAAAAAAGCTTACTTTTTTCCCCAGTTATCAGATTGCTAAGTGTTTAGGGAAATTGAGCCCTGTCCCATGGGATGAATCATACCCTTAAAGTGTTCAAGGTAATCCCCTTTTTCTTTGCTAGTGATTGGTTTGGGGTTGGTCTTGTGTCCCATTCTGGCCGATTTAAGAGGAAGTGCTGAGGGTTATGGGAAAGAGAGATCCATAATGAGAAGTCACCCATCTTTTCTGCCTTTGAGACTTAGAAATGGTGACAACCAGCCTCTAGTCATAAAAAGAAAGCCTAGTGGAAGCAAAGAAGCTGACTTAAAGGTCTGAGTTAACCAATTCCACGTGCCTACCTCTAGACATCCTGTAACATGAGATGGAAAAAACCACTTCTAGTTTGACATTTCTATTCCTTACAGCAGAAAGAATTCTAAAAGAAACAGAGATGCATGAAATAAAAGTCATACAAACGCACACACACATGTGACATTTATTGTGCTTCTTCTCATTACAAAAGCAATATATATGTTCATTTTGGGAATTTGGAATTACAGGAATTCACAAGGAAGAAAATTTCAAAAATCACTCAGA